TAAAACGTATATGGATAAGTTCAGAAAAATATATTAATAAAAATATGTAAATTGATTGGGAAGACTTCATAAAGATGAGAAATCTACATTTCTAATCCATCCAACCCTATACAACAAAGGAAAGCAAGACAAAGGTTGAGAAAAGATGGCATATGCACACAAATTTGCTCTTTTGCTTAGGAAGCAGAGCAGGTAGGTAAATAGGGGAGGTCAAACAAGCTGCCCAGAGCCTTCCACAACTGTCCTATTCGTAATTCTGAAAGCAAGTGGAATGTAAATAATTTAATCCTTGCATCACCAGTGGTTGAGGAATATATTTATTTCAGTTTTTGTTTGGAAAAGAGATAATACTTTAGAAATTATGCTCATTTGTTTTCTTCTTACCACTTCCATCCTCACTGGAGGCCACATGCAGTAAGATAAAGGACTATTTTGCCACTAGTATGGACCTTGCATAAAGATTTGTAAATAACCTTAAGAACAGTAAAGTAATTGACTCATTCAGGATCTAGCCCAGAGCCAGTTAGGTAGAACAGTGGACAGAACACTAGAAGACTAGAGTTCAAATCTAGATTCAGGCACTTATTAGCTGAGTGACCATGGGTAAGTCACGTAATATGCCTACCTCATTTTCTTCATCTGTGAAATACAAATAAATAGCACCTGACTCCCAGGTTTATAGTGAAGATACATATTTGTAAAGCTCTTAACACAATGCTTAACTATAATGGGGACTTAATAAATGCCTATTTTCTTCCTTTGAGACCTTTTGATCTGACCTAACCTAATGAGTACAGGCACATCTTTAATTAGTCTCTTGTAGTACAGAGAGGTATATACACCTCCAAAAGATTAACTCATTCTTTATCTAAGCAAGAAGGTGTCTAACAGAAAGGAGAAAAAGTTAAGCAGATGGAATTGGGAAGACAGGTATTGGGGAGCATGGTGGTACAGAAGAAAGAGTGCTGAGCCTGAACTCGTAAGACTTTGATTAGAGTTCCTGCTCTGTTCTGTACAATGTGTGCCGCCCAGAACAAGTCACTTCATCTCTCTGGTCCTCAGTTTCTCCATCTTTCAAAAGAAGGCTGGACTGCATGATCCCTGAGGTCTTTTTCAGCTCAACATCGGGATCTTAGAATGTAGTTGTAGTTCACAGAAGGATAGGAATCATGTCTACTTTCCTAGCCAAGACTCAATCATTTATATAGTAGAAAAGCTGATAGTCTGAGTACATGACAGGGACCTTCTGTGTTACCAGGAGATAAGAATGGGTAGGATATTTGGTTTGAGTATGAGTTGAATTGGCTGACTAGCATATGCTATAACAAATCAGTATGTCAATCACTGACAGCCTTTGAATAAGAATATTAACTATATTTTTTCTGCTTGACCACTAACTTAATAATACTGAAATATGAACTAGATGTTAAAAAAATTTCTACTATGAGAAAATATTTGTTATTAAAAACAAACAAAATTCCCCAAAATTCCATGGGGACAGATTTATGTGATGCACATTAAAGATATATGCATGTATACACACATATAAACATATGTACATATATGTATGTATAAATTATTTCCTATTTAATGTATACATATTTTATAATGTGTATGTGTATCAATATAAAAATAAAACACGCATATTATAAACATATACACTGATTGTATGTGATATGTGATTCATAATATTTTGCATACCATGACAGACATTTCTGTCAGTCATTATGCTATTCATTTAAAAACTATTAAATGTAAAAGGCAATGAGTTACTAAACAATGCTGGCAATAATAAACCCCATTGATACTTTGTGTCTTTTCAGGAAATTTTATTGCACTTTATTTCATCATATTAATGACTTTTGATTTAGAAAACAAATTTTCTACCTGGCTTTAAAAAAAATTCATAAGAAAAGCATTCACCAATGGTGGAAAAAAAGGATGATATTATGCTTTTAGGGAAATGTGATCATGATGAACTGAACACTAAAGTATATAAAATAATGCATCATTATCATCGAGAGATATATCCACCATTGCAGCTTTACTGACATGATTTAGGTCTCAAGAACTGTAATCACCTTCAGCTATATGCATAGGAAATGTTACCATGTCATATCATTTAAAGCAATTTGATATGAATAAATTTGCACATTCACTAGACTTTATGGCAATACCTAAAATACATCTTAATATGTACTATTCACAATCCTGAACAGACAGCTGTCCCATTCATACAAAATTATGGATATTGTCAAATCTTTTTTACCTAAATCAGTGTATGTAGAATTCAAATGTCATAGAGGCTTCATGCTATTTGGTTGGATGGCAATCTTTCCTAGTGAAAAATTCTCAATTTCTTCCCTGCTATGAGGAAACACTTCTTTCCTTTGATGGATGGAAAGGAGACATTTTGTTAAAAAGGAGTTTAGCTGAAATTTCTTCTTTTTATGTCTTACTACTTGAAAGATATCTGTCATAGTGGTTTAGATTCACAGAATCAGTGGAAGAAAAAAGTTTGATACCAAGGGTTAGTTTTAGGCTGACTTTATAAGCCAATGAAGAAAGATTAGAAATTGGCTCCTATTTTCTTCTCAGAAGGCATCTTTCCCCCACATTCCATTACATTGATGATTAAATTTCTCTTATCAAAATTTCTGCAACCGAGAGACTTCAATAATGATTGGCAGCTTTCAGAAGGAAAGAAAATTCAATCTATATTATAAAGGAAATGCAACATAGGAACATTTATCAGACATTTTTCATTAGGCTGTTGGCAAGATAGTGGAGTGCAGTATTAAAGTATTAATTCAGATTTCATATCCAGACAGAGCTATTAAGTAGTAGAATTCCAAAATGAAGAGAAATCCTATATATAAGTTTGCCCTAACTATTGTCATTTTGCAACAGCATTATGAATACTTTACAGCAAACCTCATTAAAAAGTCACAAAATCCTATGGTAACATCACTTGGTCACTTATTCATTGCTATTATGATTTCTGGGGAATTAACTGCCCCTCTTACGATAACTTCATTTCACTTTACATAATTTTTTAGAACCAATTAATGATACTATCCCACAGTAAATCATATACATGCTGAATATATGTATGTATATATATATATATATATATATATATATATATATTTCTACATGCATAGGTATGTAAATGTATGTATGTATATGTGTGCTTGTGTGTGTGTTTATTCAGAACTACTATATCCTGAAAAGCTGAAAATCTGTTTATTACTCAAGTGCCTCCATCATTCATTTCCTGCAAAAGTCAGCTGTCTACCACTGGTATAAATCAAATATAGTCCAAGAGCATTCATTCTGTATTTCATCCAAATGTAAGCTGTGTGACAATCAATTTTTCCATTGGTATCTCTAAGATGGTACTTGTCACATTTAAAAAAGGAAATGAATTCCATTTGACTGAGCAATATATTGAAAGTAACACAATGTATTTTTTTAAAGGCTCTTCAAATAAAAATAAATTATGTCTAGAGGAAATATTGTATAACTAAGATAAATGATCGGCATCTAAAACTCATTGTCCTTATAGTATTTTACATGATAGCAAAAACATATTTCATGAGAAAATGAGGAAAAAAAGCTCTGCAAAAACAGACATTAAGTATTGTTTCACCAAAACAATCTTTACAAATTTTGTACATATCAACTAAGGATGAAATGATGGTCATAGTCCTTACAAGTTTTACCCTTATACCTGTGCTTTGAAGCGCTTTAGAGAAACAAAAATAATATTTTATTCTTCCCACTGAACTGCAAACAATATGAACTGGAAAACTCCACAATAGGGAGAAAAAGTAACAATGTTCCTTAATTTGTCACATTTTGAAGATTCTGTATTTTCGATATAATGGTGAAATGCGTCATTTTCATTCCTTTACCATTTTTAAAAAGGGCTAACTCCCTGATAATCCTCATTCCACAATCCATTCTGTACCCCCTTTTCTTTTATGGAACAATTTCCGCTTAAGTTTAGGATTAAGTATACAGGTAATTTTACATATTTATTTTGCATGATGTATATGCACAATAATGATGATGTGTCACATTTGTCTTATGTTTTAGCATTTACAAAGATTTTTTTTTAACATATATCAAATGACTTGATCTTGTAAGAAGAGTATGAGAGATATCACTATCTCCATGTTCCAGGTGATGAAACTGAGGTCCAGAGAAGTTAAGGGATTGATTCTTTTAGTATTTGGTGAAACAAGAGTTAGTGCTCTCTTTTGAATTTTGCTCCAGTACTCCATTAACTGTACCAGGTTGATTTTATATATCATACCTGACATAATTTCATAGTTATTGTATTCCAGATGATAAAATCTTTAGTTATTTACAAAGAATAACATATTAGATTATTAAGTAATAGAGTATGACATGTAAAAGAAGAACCAGTTGCTAGTCTAAGCTGAAAACAAAAGTAAGAGTAACCTGTACTTAGAAAATGTTTGATAATAAAACCAAATGATCCACATGAATTAAATGGGGTTTTTTATGTATTTTCAAAAGTTTCTGTGAATACGTACAGTGTAATTTTCTGTTTGTGGCATTGCATACCTCAAAATTCCCTGTAGTACTGTGAATATGACATTTTAATATTTTCAACTTGATTTCAATACAAATTGTTTTCATTCCAGAAGGAGTAGACATTCACAATTCACTCCTTCTCACTTGGTCAAGTCTGATTTGCAGAGTATATAGGAAGAGTGGGGTACCTGCAGCCTAGAGGCCACATGTGGCCTTCTAGGTCCTTGGGTACAGCATTTTGACTGAGTATAAGTTTCACATAACAAGCTCTTTTATTAAGGGGATTTGTTCTGTGAAATTTGGATTTAGTCAAAGGGCCCCACTTGAGGACCTAGTGGGCCACGTATGGCCTTGAGGCCTCAGGTTCCCAATCCTTGACACTGAGTATACCTTCAATAAGCAATAAAATGTCAGATATTAACTCATGTACTTACCTGTCACAGTGAGTTCAGTGGTTCTTCTAACAACAAAGCCTCCATATTTTAGCTCACATGTATAATTTCCAATGTCATCTTCTCTAACTTCCCGTAGAAGCAGAATATTCCTTTTGAACACAATACTTGGCCTCCATGTTTTTGTCCTACATTCCTGTATAAAGAAAAATAGGTCACAAATATCTATTTCATTTTAAATTACTCAAAAAAAAGTTATTGGTATTACATGTAAAAGTTTCTGAGGAAGTTCTCATATTTTCTGTGACCCCCCAACATATAAATGCCTATAGATGATTATATGTTTCATTAAAAAGGTTTTATCAGAAAATTATATGAATCCCACTAGTACATGGATATTAATTAGCTTGTATATATCTAAATTTTACATATGTAATATATTGTGGCCTAATAAATTTCTACTTTCATTATTTTTTCTGTCAAAATTTAATTTCTTCATGATATATAAGAGTTTATGTTTTGGGGACCAGACATCTTATTACTCAAGCCAAATTCCCAAAGTGAAAGCTAAATATGGTTTTCAGAGGTAATGAAAAGTATCTGAACTTTTTTTTTAAAATATAAATTTGTTGATCACCAACAAACAGATTATTGACTTTGTATATGGGGAATGGGGAATCTATCCAATTATTTCAGCCGAAGATGTATATATGTTTTTGTTTACTCTTGCTAGATTTATTTTTAAAAAATCATTTTTCCCAGGGAATGCAGATTTACTCCTTCTGCAGAACATAATTACTTGCATAATGACTCCTATGAGTCATTGTTATCAGGTAAAAAAAAACACGCAAAATATAATGTGAAATATCATTCACATTATGCTTATGTATGTGCTTAGGCACATACATGCATTTGTATAACATATTATGTATAACTCATATTAAGTTCGGCAGGCTAATTCTTTTCCTATATAGTGCCAATATGACATTCTGTTGCTTAGTTTTGCTTATATTTACAAGTGGTTTTATTGAAACAATGACATGCCGTATTCAATTACATGTCTCAGTTTTACAGAATTTTGCTATACTTCTTAGGTTGTGCATTCTCTTATTATTCACTTAGAATATATAATTTATATTGTAATGACTATAGTGTTATAACTAAGGGCATGAAGTTCTCAATACAAAAACTATACCTCATACACAAAAATTATAGTCTTCACATTCCAAGCTGATGCTGGTGTTGCTCTATAACCAAAAAGACCTATTCAAGACCTATGGTCATTTAATACTGAATAAAGGCTTAGTTTATCTTCTAAATAGCTCTGGTCAATTCTTTCTGAGGCAATGAGCTAAGTAAGATGCATAGTTGAGGAAGCAAAAGTTTAAATGTTATTCTTCTTATTAAGGGAACAGATATGCCACATTCAAAATTGTGCCTTATTTTACCCTAATGGGTTTTTAATTTATACCTTTTAAGGATAGGGCTATAACTGATTTCATTGTTATAAGGAACTTTTGATGAGGGAAAATATCCTGCTAATGCAAAACTGCATTTGTTCCAAAACTTACTGTCCAAGAATCCTACATCAATGGATTAAGGGACTTCCTCAGGGTCATATGATTAATGTTAGAAAGAGGATTTACCTCTGGTTTCCCTGCTTCTGAGGCTAGCTTTCTCTCCACTTCACCAGGCCATCTGTCATTTGTAAATATTTATTCGTATCACACCATAATCACAAAGAAAAAGCAAATAGTTTATTCTTATACACAAGAAATCTTTTTTCATGAAGAATTTTTAAAAGTAAAAATAGCTAAATTTTGATGAAACTCCAAGTGTGTCTCTTTTATGTTAAGAAAAGATGAGAGTGGCCCTGTGAGATTGTATATTGGACTGTGCAGAGTAATTGCCACCAAAAAAGTAGGAACACTAACTGGCCCTGTCAAAGAAATGTGAGAGATGAGACTGAGGGATGATGACTTTGACAGAAATATCACTATTTTAATTTAGAGGTAGTTTATCTACAAAGGAATCCATCTGATATATTATTAACTAAAGTAACTGTTTTAATGAGTGCAGTTAATAGTACTAGAGACATTCAGAGAAAAATAAAGATGTGTGTATGTGTATAGGAGAGAGAAAAAGAGAGAGACAGAGAGAGAGGATGAAAATGTATTAAATAAACATAAGATGAAAATATAACTTCAGACATAGTAAGGACAAAACTGCAATGAATGCCTAAACTATAGAACATTTTTAAGTAAATCTTGAGTCTCATTACATTAACTAAACCTTTCTATTATACCTCTCTTTTCATTAGCACAGACCATCCTTCATATTCTTTTTTTTTGCTAAAATTGCATATTAAAATTAATGTTTTAAAATACCCTTTGATACCCTGACAGTGTATTCTGCCCTAGAAAGATCATGTTTGGAATATTGCTTGAGTTAAGGGCACCATGTTTGAGGAAGAACATTGACAAACTGGAGAACATCCAGAGGAGGGTAACCAGGATATTGAAGAATTTTGAGTTCATATCATTTTAGAATCAGTTGAAGGAATTGGGGATTCTCCCCCCCTTCCAAAAAAAAAAAGACAAGAGGGCTTAGGAAAGGACATAATTGCTGTGTTCAAGTACTTGAAGGGCCACCACAAGAAAAAGAGATGAGATTTGTTCTGGTTGGTCTCAGATCACAGATATTAGCAATGAGTAGAAGTTGTAGAAAAACAAATATAGCCTTACTGCAAAGAAAAGAAAGACTTTCTAACAATTAGGGGTATACAAGAGGGAAATTTATTGCCTTTGTTTGTAATAGGTCCCCTGTTTACAAGAAGTCTTCTAGCAAAGGCTAATTAGCCACTGGAGGTGTTGATGGGATTCTTGTCTAGGTAGAAATTGGACTATATAGTCCATGCAATTTATTTCATCTCTAAATTTTATTCCCTTTGTGGTGTACCTTCTCTGATAACCCTAGCTCCAAGTTTTCTTTCCTTCTTCATGTTTTCTTAGGATACTTTGTTAGGAGCATTTTTCCCCTGTCAAATTTTACCTAGTATAATTATCAGCGTAGTTATCGTCTTTGTATCAATAGGGCCTGGAATCGTCTTGCCCAAAGCACAAACTTAATATATGAAAATTGAATTGAATTACATTTAGTTCAGTTAACTGGCTTGAAAGGAAACTGGTGTTAAAAGGATAAATGACTCTTGAAATTTAAGAAACTGTTGAGAAAATTCTTTAGAAAATGCTGAAACAGACAAAAATAATGAGTGACTCAAGTAAATGAGGCTAATAATATTAATCTATGATTTGCTATCCTGATCATTTCATATTCATTTCACTTGTTAATTACTTAAAGTTACTGCCTTTTAAAGCATGAGTTTAGCTCATGGTTTAATTTATTCATAAACTCTATATATTCCTCTTTAATGATGTTTTCTCTCTATTTCTGGTTCCATTCATAAAAATCCTGAAGTGGCCTAGATATTCAGCTGTAGAACTCTCAGTACCAAACTGCTATGGATGTAAAACTGAAAAGTATGATACAATACACTTAGTTAGACTCACAGAAGCCTAGATAAAAATGACCACAAACTCTTTAGCATAATAAAAAGTCAAATCATGGATTCAGAAGGGCAAAGATACAACAGTATCTTAAAATTTGAACTTTGAGGAAGTTCAAACAAAATACAAACACTGATTTAAAAAAAATCAACCTCCAGAGCAGAGCCACGATGACAGAAAGTGCTCAGCAGAGCCCTCACAACTTTCCCATACAAATAACTTTAAAATAACACCTCAAATCAAATTTTGGAGTGGTAGAGTCAACAAAAGATAAGAGTAAGACATTCTAAATGCCCAAGAGAACTAAGGAGTTTGAAAAGAGAGATCTATGACATGGGGGTGGAGAGTGACACCAGAGCCCACATGGATGAAACACTAGTGTGGGATGAGGTGGTGGTGACAGAAACAGCAACTGCATTGGGAACTTCCAGATCAGAGAGAGTGAGATGGGAATTTCTCAGAAAGAAACTACAGGAGATGTCTGTACTAGCACTGGATGCAGTACCAGACACTGCTTAGCAACTCCATTGCTTATGCTGACTTCTGCATCTTAGTTCAAGGTCAGGGAGAAGAACCTTTAGACAAGAGGGAGTGGAATCCATGAGGGGCAGTATCACTTTTGCATTCAAGAAGGGATCAAGAACCCTGAGGAGCAGCATCAGTTGCAATCCCAAGAGATCAGGGGCACTTCCTGGGTAAGGAGCAGAGGATAGACTAAGAGAGTAGTGACCTCACCTCTCCCCAGATCACACTAACTTGGAGTTCCCAAAACTTCCAAACCTTTAGAACTAACTGGAAACAGCAGTGCAAAATAAACCTGAACCATGAGGTATTGCCTCTACCTCCAACTATGCCTGAAACAGAGCCCAAACGTTAACATAAAGTTTGAAATCAAGAAATAAGGTTGAAAAACATGGGAAAATAACAACAACAAAAGTACCTGGCCATAAAAAAAATTCCTGTGGTAATAGGAAAGAGCAGGAAACAGCTCAGAAGAAGACAATGAAATCCAAAAAGCAAAAGCAAAACCTCAAAGAAAACCATAAATTGGACACAAGTTCAACAAGAATTCCCTAAAGAGCTAAAAACATTATTTTCAAAGTCAAATAAGACTGGTAAAGAAGAAAAACATAAGGAAAGAATGAAAGTAAAAAAATATGAAAAGATATTCAACAAATGGTAAGAGAGACACAGAAATAATACCTTAAAAGAGAAAATTGGCCAAATGGAAAAAGGAGGTACAAAAATTCCCTGATGAAAATACACATTAAAAAACAGAATTGGAGGCAGCTAGATGGCACAGTGGATAGAACACTGGCCTTGGATTCAAGAAGACCTGAGTTCAAATCTGGCCTGAGACAGTTGACACTTACTAGCTGTGTGATCCTGGGTAAGTCACTTCACCTCATTGTCTCACCAAAGGAAAAAAAAAATAAGAATTGGCCAAATGGAAAAAAAAGGGACAAAAGCTCACTGAAGAAAATAATTCCTTAAAAATTAAAATTGGGCAAGTAGGAGCTTATGACTCCATCATACATCCAAAAATAAAAGTTCAGCCAAGTTAAAAGAAAAAAAAATAAGAAAATGTGAAACATTTCATTCAAAAACAACTAACCTGAGAAAAAGATCA